ATTGCTCAAGGCTTTCCAGCATGCTCTACGTGAGCCTCAGATCCACATAAACACACCTAAATATAGAAGTTTGCTTGTAGGTGGGTATGTGTGTGCTACGTGTCTTCCAGTATAGTAGGTCAAGATCTAGGGCTTAGTTCAGCGGAGTACATAGAGGTGTCCCCTGTTACGTGATATTCCCTGCTCTCCAGCGACTTCTCCTGAAGGGCACAGCCTTCCCAGGTCTGAGAGCATAGCTGCCAGACCTAGGGGATGTCTCAGATACCTTAGGGCATCTCAAATGGCACTGGACAAATAAATTTGGGCAGCTGAATCGAGCCTTTTTTTTGTACCAAACCCAGAGTGCGAGTCAGCTGAGCAGCCGGCAGGAGCCTTCCTGAGGATTAGCTGCACCTCTCGGTTGGCGTGATTTTCTTGTGCTGCACTGAGAGTTCAGACACCTGCTTCACATGTAGACACCTAAATTTAAATGTCTTCACATGGAGCTAAATCCCACCCCATCTATTTTTCTGATCTCCATTAGAATTTGTGATGTCTTTAACTCTTCCTGGTCAGTTATCCTATTTCTGAATTCTCACCCAGACCTGCTGCATCTGGTTGCTGTGCTCTTGAGACTTGCATTGTGCAGAGACGCCCTAGGATACTTTATCCATTTCTGGCTCTTCCTGATCTCTGAACTTGTTGGATGTACATCTAGAAGCAAATCCAGCTTTTCTGGTAGCCAGTTATATAGTAGCCACCTATGATCCACCTATGTAGTAGCCAAAGGCATTTTAAAATGTCGTAGCATAAGACAGGAAGAAGGTCAGCCTAGCCTAACACACTATGTCCAACAGTGACACCAGTCAACAGTGAACAGTCAGGGAAGATTACACAAACAGGACAAATATACAGCGATATTTCTCCCTAAGAGTGTCTCAGCCTCCACCAGCCTGATGCTTGGAGACATCCTGAGCCAGAAGTGGGCTCTTGGTATTAATTAGCTCGGGATTAAATTTTCTCCAATGAGATCATCCTGCTGGCTTTGAACCCATGTAAACTTTTAGTATCTTGTGACAAGGATTTCCACAATTTAACAGGACACTCCTTAAACCACAGATTGTCTGTACCCTTAGTATTGTAATAAGAGGGCAAAGCATCCATAGGTGAGTTCAGAGAAACCTAGCATGTCTGCAGACAAGGGTATTTGGACCTCAAGTTACTTTGGTGGCTGAGCAGAATGAACCAAGGCTACTTCCTACAGTACTGGAGCAGGTGTCCTGCTTTCGGCTGGGATAGCGTTAATTTTCTTCCT